GACAAACACAAATAAACCATATATTGTCGCAATCGTATGTTTAATGTCTTCATGTTTCCAAACATTTCAGTTTTTTTGTGAAAACAACTGTTTTCATACAAAATGTGGGGGGGGCAATAGGGATTTCGCCTAGGGCGTCAAATTGGCTAGAAACGGCCCTGAGTGTAGCACCGTAGACTGTAGCACTCATTGATCAGCACATTTGGAAATATTTCAGGTACAGGTCAATTTTCTTGAGGAAATCATCTCTTATGATGTAAAATATAGGCCTGCAGGGTGTGTTACTATCAAACTATCAAGTTCAAATTTATTTTCAGATATAGGTCTAATACGGTAATCAATACTCAAGCAAACTAGATAGCTGTAGCTACACAAACATTTAAGAAAAATATAATGACATTTTTGGCTATGCACTCCACTAAGTATTTATTTATTTATTTATTTATTCTTATAAGGTAAATGTAAAGTTCACACATGCATGCTGTTTTACTGACGTCTTTCCGAGATTGACACATGCCTGGGTGATTACACGAGAAATTATATATTTCAGTAAGTTTCACTGTATTTTTCAAACTTCTGATGAGCATTTACATTTATTTTGTGTTATATACTCGCAGTAAAAAGGGAGATACGAGAGTGACATCTAATAGACAAGAGTGGTATAATAGCAGGATTCGCGTTAATCCAGTGTGACGAGGGGCGGGGAATGGAGCGAGGCCGGTGGAGTAAATGCTAATGCGCGACACCTGCGCCACTCACCGGTCTCGAGTCCCACGGAGGAGCTCCGGAAGGATAAAAGGAGGAGTGACGAGAGAGGACCAGGCCTGGATTTTATTTTGTGTTTTGTGTGCGGCAGTCGTCCCCGGGGGGCTGCCGCTTTCCTTTAATTTTGTGTTGGTTTATTTTATTAGTGTTAAAATGTTCGCCGGTTCCCGCCTCCTCCTTCCGGAACTACGAACTGTTACATTGGTGCCGAAACCCGGGAGGAAGGAGGGACACGCTGCCAGAGATCCCTCGCCGCTGTGGTGAGTCCGCGGTGCCATCGAGCATGGCGGAGCAGTCTGCCGCCATGGAGGCTCGAGGCGGTGGGCTGGAGTGAGTTGCCGTGGGGGGCGGACGAACTCGCTGCCGGTGTCATGAGAAATCGAGTCCCCCCTCGAAATTGGATCCGCTTAGGACCAAGGCGGTAGCTGTTTTAAATGACTGATCAAAAGTCAACACTTATGTTACTATTTCGTTGTGAATATATGTATGGTAAGTGCAAATGCGTGGTGTATAAGCTAACCTAGCAGGCTAATCGGGTAGCTGTATGCTATGCTATTAACGTTACGTGAGCTAACCAAAAAATAAAATAAAAATAAAAACTAAAATGTTTGATTTCACAACCTATAGCTTCGGATACTAGTGTATGAAACATGTCATTTAAAAGACATTGATGCGATTTCAAGTTTTCCTTTCTCTTTGGAGTGTTACAAGCTGATTGTGCATAGATAAGATCCCTGAAATAACAAAGACTAAAGTCTCAAAACCAAAGAGATATTCTTTATCAAAGTTAAGACTCTGCCACGCCCCCCTAAAACTCCTCGTTCTAACACGCCCCCACATATCTACCTCACTATGTGGAGAGAGAGAGAGAGAGAGAGAGGGCGCGAGAGAGAGAGAGAGAGAGAGCACGAGAGAGCGAGAGAGAGAGCGCGCGAGAT